AATAATGAGTGAACAAGGAACATGTTTGAACTAACAAACACACTCTGACAGACTCTGTGGGGCTGTTTTGTTTTATTTTTATTGTATTTCATTTTCGGTCTGGTTACAAATGCTTGACTGACAGGAGTGGAGGCTGGCATCTATCACTTCTCTTCAAAACAGATATGGAATGAACATCAACATTTCTCAGCGCTCATCCGGAGGGAACAACCTTTCCTAAAAATAAAAGCATCTCTCTCACACCTGTTGCCACAGTCTATTCCATTTTTGTTCTCTCTTGCCAAGAAACTGAAATGAAGTTCTGCTGCGTTATTTTGCTTTCTTTTACTTTCTTCAAGGTATGCTCAGCTGATAGTTATGAAGCGGATGGAGGCATTCACAGCCTCTACTCACTTGCCACAAGTCAGCAAAGCACCACCAGACAGCATCAGCTCTCGTGCTCTGAGGACCGTGCATTGCTTTCCACTTTCTCACATCAGCAAAGTTAATGGCCGAGTTCTGCATTAAATTAAATAAATGAATACAAACAGAAACCTGCAGAAATACTTTGGGAGAACAGGAGGAATCCTCCCTGCGATTGATTGCGTCTTAACTTCCCTAACAGAATGAGGAAAGACTTATCCTCCCAATTGCCTCTGAGATGCAGGAGGATACTTTCCTCCTCAGTAAGGTCAGTATGATCACTGCCAAAGACACAAACAAAGTTAATGGCAGAGTTAACACTTCAGCTACTTTATCCAAAGGCCTTTCTAGCACCCTTTCTATTGGGCCATTCTCCATGGTTGCACAGGCTTCTGAAACTGATGGTCTCCAGTTTGCAACAGCTCTCCAGCCAAAAATGATTTATAGTCAAACTGCATTTCAGTAAGACTTACCTTATATTCATTTGGTCTGAATGACTGACCCCCTATTTGCTAAGTACTTTAGTAACTGTAATTTTGTGTACAAAGTGGCTGACATCTGCTGGCTTTCAGGGCTGACAGGCAACGTGGCTGGTCTTGGAAATGTCAGGTTTTGTAGCCGAGAAAGTAGGCAGCTGCCTACCTCCATGGATTGAGCTTTTATTGCTGCTGTCCTCCTATGAAGGATGGAGAGAAAAAATAAGGGTGTAGGGAAGTTAGGATACATAACGCGGCACCTGCTATTCTAGGGAACAACTCTTCCCAGTAGTAGGAGCAGAAAGCCCTGCTCTCCAAATCTGCCTTTTCGCTGGCATATTTCTGTCCCATCTGTTCCCTACTCTTCATGGTAGGACCATGTCCATTGCCACGTTAGCAGCCCGGGAAGCACAGGAGGGGAGGAGAGACTGCTACAGGAAAGGAAAAAGGGCTATGGATGAGGTGGGATGACCAGGCAGTGACTCTGAGGAAATGGGTGGCGACTTCTGGGTAGGTTCCTCTCATCTTCCTTTCTCATCACTCCTGGAGGAGCTATGTCTACATGAGGAGGATCATCGGAGGCCTTCTGCATCAGTATGCCATTTAGCATCCTTTTTCTATAGGCCTCTCTAGTCGTTAAGTGAAATTTTCAAGTTCTTCATTCAATGTTTTTCTATTTCCTCTCAAAGTTTATGCTCCTTCTGCTTCTCACCTGTTTGCAGGTGCCAATGAAAGGCACAGGGTGATAAATTACATATTTGCTGTGACAGAATTTGTGCCAGTACTGAGCACTGACAATATACATTACAGTTCAATTCCTGTATTTCCAATGGCACATTTTACAGTGCTATAAATAAAGTTGTTATGGCATCTATTATTCACTGCCAATACAGTTCAAGTTAAAATAGGTTTTATATAACAGTTCAAAGCAATATTTTAAGAAATAGCACTTGTGTCAAGGCTGTTGTGTCCTACCAGATTTTGACATTTCCAAGCAATAAAGATCTTTATTCAAAATGTAAAATTTTGGCGAGACATCGCCCTCATAGACTTCTCTATTTTTAATCTGAAAGCAATAGTAAAAGAAGCACATTTAAATGAAGTGAACAGCCAGCTGAACTTCTGACCTGGCTGTTATCTTTCTAAGGGGAAACTGTGAATGCTGAAATGTGCCTCAAGGGATGTACGTGACGGAGAACGACGTCCCATTAACCTGAACCTCTGAAGAGATTCTGGGAATGTGGAAAACATGCAAGTGGAAAAGTCATTAGAACATTAAGAAGATGTCTATTATGGGTGCAATTTTTGTACCGATTTTTCAGGACACGCTCTGGGAGGAGAATTTATTTTCTCATTTCTTTAACAAATGAAAAGGTATATCTGTTCTGGCAAATTCACTGTGATCTAAAAAAAAAAGGCCCAGCAGCGGAACCAGCACCACAAGCTGGTGTCTCAGCAGATACAACATCCTACCACCATTCTGTCACCTGCTCAGTTCTGTGTCGCTTACGGTCTACATTTTCCAGTGCTAGATACTCATAAAAGTCAAAACTACCCTGCAAGACCAATCTACTGCACAAGACACGTTTTGCATAGCTCTAGCCTTCATTCTGTTCCCCAAACAGCAAAGGAGAACAAATGCTATATATCAATCTGGCGATAAATTCAGTTTATTAGCTGACAGTTTGACAGTTAGGAATAATGTTTTCTTTTAACCTTCTTGATCACCTACTGGGTTTGAAAATATATTGGAAAAAAGTGACAAGGGTGACTTTGAGCTCAATGAATCCCTTCTCTGTATACACACAACTTCTAATGAAACCAGGAAAGATTACATGTGCAAGATCAGTCCTTGCACAAAATATATGTTCATGTGGGTCAACAAACAGAAAAAACAACAGCCAGAGAAAATGACTTAAAAGTACCATCTGCTTATCCAAACACAGCTGGAGAGAGGTATGAAGTAGTCAAAAATTCAATTCATTTTCATCATATTTCTTTCAAAAGAGATATTAAACAAAATACTATTGGTTCTAAATGTTTTTTAATGCAATGTGATGACAAGAAATGAACCACCCTAAACTAATTCATCACCTACTGAATTTTCCTCCTGTGGAGAAATGTTTAAGCTGCATTTGAACGAGTGCATGTGGAATTAAGTCCTCCTTATGGGATGAACACAGATATCAGGTGGCAATGCGAAATGGATGCAATTATGATGGAGGTAGAGAAAAACAACAGGTTAAAACAAGCTACACACGCACAGATCTCAACCTCATTAAATGCAAAAGTTGAATAAGTTATCCAGGGAGAAATTTGTATCTGGCAAAAAGATAAACGGAATCTACCAAATCAATATGTATGCAACCTGAAAAATACAAGCGCACCAAATTTATTTGGAAGTTGAATAGGACTGGGACTGTATTCACTTAATCCTGCTGGCTGTCTCCTTAGCTTCCAACACAGGCAGCTTTCATCCAGCCTTCTCCGCCGTGGGGAAGCAACATCCAGACTGCACAGGGATGCGCAACACAGAGCAGACATGGCACAGCTCTCCCTGAGTGCTGGCCATGGCCACGTGGCCCAGTGCGGCACCAGGCACAGGTACTAGCTGGTGGCACAGAGATGGGATTTAACCAGCAAAATAAGTAGCCCTCTAAGGAGACACGACTACAGGTTTTGATTTCCCAAAGATGGTGCAGTTAAGGCTGGCTTGGGATCTCTGTCACTCTCCACTGCCTAACAGGTACAAGCCAGATGTTCTTCTGTGCAGGGCAGGGCACAGCATAAAGGTAGAAAGGAAAAGACCATGACTTTAATTCAGACAATGGACCGCAACAACATCCTTTGTCTTTGCAACACCTTTACAGAAATACCATTACACCCTTCTTGAATGTCAAAGTGCAGTAACATCCCAAAGCATGCATTTGCTTGCAGCAAAGTTCCCTACAATTTTTCCTGGCAGACGCTCAGAAGTAAAACAACCCCGCAAAGAGATGCTCCAGGTAAGAAAGGATAACTTTCACTCAAGGATACTCAGAGTGAGGCTGTTCTTTAATAATTTCACCCCTGATAATGCACAGAAGCACATGAATCTCAATTGCCTCTACAGAACCCACAGTAGGAGAGATTCTGTATACACTCCCATAAAACTGCCCAAATTTCCTATTTATAGCATTGAATCGTACACAGTTATCCTTGTTTACAGAGGCCAAAGCCTCAAAGTATTAGTCTACAGCTGAAATGTTTGTCCCTTTCTTGCACTGCTAACTGGATCACTATTCCTGCTATATCACACCAAAATCCATTCTGATAAAATTAGCTCAATCTAATTATAGGACAAAGTATAGTCCTTAATTAAATGTTCTGATTTATTCTGAAGTCCTCTCTTTTGGTTCATCTTGAGTTTAGGCTTGTAAAAGCATACAAATTAGAAAGATTTAAAATGTTCTGTTTTCACTCATTTACTGCTTATATTGAGCAACTGAGTTTTCCGTAAGTATAAAAAAGAAAAGTATATGAAGAAAAATGGGGTTTGCCTAACTCATTAAGACCTCTTTTTGTTCCTTTTTTCCATACGTTATTTATAGCTACACTTAGGAAAAAAGTGAGCAGACAGAATATGATCCTTCTTTTAGCTATATTAAGAACATCCAAATCCTTTGATTAAAACCAAAATAGTGAATTATTTGAAAAAATTTAAAAGTTATCTCCATTCATCTACCTATTGTTTTCTCTAACACCGAAGCTGAATACTTTCACTGTATGTCAAAAATTCCAGTTTCAAGTTTGCATGCCCAAAAAAAGTTGTTTTGCTTCAAAACCAAGCTCACTCAAATGACTTCACGATAGACTGTGCTATGGAAGACACTTTGAAAAAATATTAGCCCATGAACATTAATTACTTCTTGCCATTTTCATTAGAGGTTATAAGGATTTCTAATTCTTCATTCTGCCACTAATTTCCATTTTCAAAAAACACCTGACAATCACTCCCACATCTAGTGACGATGTACAGTCAGGTATGCAAATCAGTGTTTTCTTTCCTCACATTGAGCAATCCAGCACATGAGGAATCTCCGCTTCGAGCTTGCAAGCCCACGGCTAGAGAGAGCTACTGACCTCAATTTGCTGAATGGCCTCTTCCCGCTGACGGATGGCCTCCAGATCCTCTTCCGTGATTTCCGAGAGCAAGGCTTGATCCTGGCTCTGGTTCTGCCACATTCCATCTCCTCCGTTAAAGATCTTCTCGTCATCAGGGAGGTCAGAAAAGGGGGTCCTAGGACTCTGCTCAGATGGAAAAGTGGAAAGAAAACAGAAGAAGTATAAAAGTTCTTCGCTTCATATAGCCTTCATACTGTAAAGGAAAATAATAATACAATAGATTGCATAAGCCATGCAAAAAGGTGAAGAGGATAGATTAAATGTTAATACAGGAAATGAGAATAAACCGTCATGGGACTTCTTTCCCCAGGTCAGAATAGCACTAGTTACATGAGGGAAGCATATCAAGTCTTCAAGTAAGGACCTGAAGCAAGATCCTCCAAGTTACGTTTCGGCCCCAGCAAAAAGCTTCTGTTGCAGGCAATTCTAACGGAACGAAACATCTATGTACATCTGAAAAATGACATCTTCAACTTGTTGATTTTACTGGAAACTTCTGGAATTAGATACTTTCTCGAAACAATACATAAAGCCTATGTGTTTGCCTCGAAAACTTTATGATTCAGCTTACAACACATGACATAACAAAAGGCATCTTATTTACGAGATAAACAATCAGTACAGCTTAAAAAGAGGAGAGCCATTACAGTAACATGACTGTGCAGTCATCAGTTTGAGCTCAAACATTTCATTTCACAGTTTCACGTTCTGTTTCCTCTATAGAGTTGACTTGCTTTTACTGACACCTGAGATACTGTTTTCTCGGTAACTAGATGTTCATGTAGCCTTTGGAAACCGTGCTTGCACTCAGATCCAAGTTCACTGAGCTAAGTGGCATGAGCCAACTGCATCTACGCTGAAGGCAGAGGCAGAGGTTTAGCAAGGCCTTCTCCTCTTCCCATCCATTAGCTTCTGTGCCTACAGCAGTTGTAGATTCAGTCTAGACTGGACTCAGAGAATGAATCAACACGAGGTTGGTAGGGACAATCAGGAGGTTAAGCTCAAGTCCTAAACTAATAGACACAGCTGAAGACTCCAGTGCTATAGCTGAACGAGTATTTCACTTAAACGTGCATACGGGTCCTTAAAGTGGGCTTGATCTGAGCTCTGATGCCTAAACAAAAGTTATAAAACATCGATCCAACAGCTTCCGATGTTCTGAAGTTGAAAGAAGAATTGGCAGTCACTACAGCACATACACGCTTGACCGGAACGGCTCCCCGAAAACTACAGAAAACAAGCACAAGAATTCAGAGGGATGTTCAGTTCTCTGCATCTAGACATAGCTGAAGGGCAAACACTAAGGCTCTTCAAGGGGTTGTACTTAAGAAATAAAGGCCTTTGCTTTCTTGCTATGGCTATGTTCTCTCAGTTGTCCGCCGCCCTGAATTCCCACAGAATGAATAGGAACAGAGGCCGTTCAGGAGCTCGCTGGAAGGGCATGGAGCCTTGAAGGACTGGAACAGAAGTTGCAATGGAAATGATGTCACATCACCTAGGAAAGCGTGAGAAGCAGAACCAGCTGTGCTTAATGGAGGGAGGGGAAGAAAAAAAAAAAACACTTGTTATGTGTCTTTCTTTTACTTATTGCTTGTTTGCTTAAAGATCTGCCCTAGAGAAACTGTGAAGGAGGCATGGAGAAAGGTAATACTGAACTCTTACAATGCCATTTAGATATCTAGCTGGCTAGATTTTGAAGTGTATTAGGCATCTGGAAACTCTTAAAAATTTCTGCATTTAGATACCAAAAGACTTCTCTAGTTGCCTAAATACAGACCCAGGAGCCTGACCAAAGTCATTCATTATTATTATCACCATCATCTAACTGCAGGCAAGGAAAATAATACAACATGATGAAGGAGGTGGCATGGTAGACGATGTAAAGGCTTGCAGAAAAATCATCAGTAAGCATACTAGTATCTTTTGAAAATATAAACAGAAGATGCAATCTTTAACATTAATATCTTGCATTGTTTCCCCTCCTCCTTCCCTGAGATCTATTATCTACAAAGAAAGCGTGCGTTACAGGAAGAAAATCATCATTTAAAATTAGGTTAAAAATTCATTTACATTTTAAAATACATATTGTAATAGGATTATAATACTCCAGGGGTGTTTTATTCACCAATTAATATATGCCTTGGACCCTAAGTTATCTGGGAAAGTGTTTCACTGCCAAAAGCGTACATTAACAGACTCAAGAAAAAAAAAAAAAAAACCCTGGGGTATTCTGATGCTTCATTTACAGTGACAGAGGTCTTCTCTCATCTTCACCAGTGGGCAAACTAGGACATGTTCTGTCAGCTGCACAGGGCCACGTAGGCTGGAAGGGCCCACGTGTCTGCTCTCTGAAGAGGTAGAAAAATAGCGATCTAATTAAGTGCTTGTACTCGGTCACAACAGGGATGCCGTACCATGGACCTACGAGCACATGAATGGATACCTAAATCCATGCTTTCCCACACCGATATGCATTTCAGGGAATGGTAACTATTTTGAAGTTATTAAATGCTTCCTGTACTGTCCTGATGTGACAGGATTAAAAGGAGAGCCAGTCCTCAAATGCCGTTGGTCTCCGTAAAACCACGCTTACATCACAAGCACGTTTTCTCTTGACCTCTGTCAGCCCCTATCTGTGATCCTCACTTTTTGGTCCTAAATAAATAAATAGAAATAAATTAAAATAAAAATAAATAAAAAGCCCTAATACAGCTACTGCAATGCCAGTGATGCTGTTCAGTCAAAGCTGTCTATTCATGTGTCTAAACAGATAATGGTCTAGACACAGATGTTTTTCTTTAGACAAAGTGGGGCTTAAATCAATTTCAGAGCTTCTGAGGACAGTTATGTGATTTTGTATCCTTTTAACATCTTTCAAGAAAAATCCAGCCACAACTGCATGAATGAGTGACTCTGAATCCAGACACAACGGGATGCGTGAGGTCTGAAATTTTCTTTGACACATGAAAATGGCTCTGTAGCAACTTCAAATATAGTCACCTTGACCTGCTATAGGGATATGTACGCTTGCTGGCTGCATTGACATACTAAAAGTGGTTTTGTCTTTGTTGATGATAAAATGACCCTTCTATCAGTAATAAAATGAACAAAGCCCTTGTTTTGAACCAGCAGCCAAAGCCTGTATTTGAAAGTGTGAAGAAATCTAATCATTTTTAATACTTCTGATGGTAAATACACACAACGGGGTTTATCAGTGGGTTTTTTTCCCCCTTTTAGGCATTGCTCATTGCCATGTCTGGAAAAAAATGTGTTATTTATAGCAAAAATAGATATGATGGAGGGCACTTATTGAGTCTCCACAGACAAAGTTCCTTCAGAAAATACACTGCAAGGGGCCTTAACTCCCTATACAGGCATTTCCATCTTAAACTTGATTTAGTGCCAAACTTTATGCCCTGCAAATGTCTGTGTAATTTTCTGTTGGATTTCCTTTCATAAATTGTTAATTGGATGTGTTTGAAGTTGCTCTTTTGTTGAAATTTGCCTGTGGCAGATTTTTGTCAAGATGTGTCTGCAAACCAAACTCCGCCTGCGAAAAAACTGATAGAAGGGAAACAAATCTGATCTGCTCAGTAGTTCTTTTTAAACGAAATTCTTAGGACTGAGGGTCATACTTTGCTGTTATTCATCATATCTGAAAAACGATGCCCAGGCACAACATTTTTTCTCTTGGATAAAAATCTTTTCAGTAAGATAAAATCTTTGCTGCTTACAACTACATTTTTTTAATCAGATTTATTCGACAAATGAGGAGAAGTTATATGCAGCTGCTGATAGAGAAAAGGGGTAAAAAAGGTTTCATCTAGACGAGCACAACTTCTGTCAGCATCTGTATTTTACCAGTAATAAATTCTTTGCATTAGAAGCTGCATGTTTGAGGCTCCTCTGAAGATCATCTCCTCCTAGACCTGCTCCTAATTCCCCATTTGTATTTTAGAAGGGCTAAAAGAGGAACACTAACACATGCAATTTCTTCTCTATGTACATAGGAATTTTACAACCCTTGTCACTTAAAACCACCATGTTAGGAACTGAAACGACCTCTGTCTTTGCTCCATCCAGAAGCAGAAACTTAACAGGAACTGCACCAGATATAACATCTCCTGGCCTACAACATCTCTGCATATCTTCAGACAACGTCCTCTAGGAATCAGATGTGCCCTGGTAATGACTCAGTCCTGTAGCCCTCTCTTACAGCTCTAACTTTAATGATGTTGTTTCTGAACGCTCCTCACAAGTTCTTCCCTCACCAGCAGTCAAAAGGGAGATACACACTTATGCTCCCTCCAGCTCAGGTTATCTACTAGTTTGATAACAACGGTGCCCAACGTCAGCTACAGCAAGGTGGAGCTCTCACAGTCTCTCCAAAAGGATCTGTAATACTTGATGTAAGTAATCAAGATTTATTGGAGTTGGACTTATGGACTTTCTGCACCAGATGAATGCCACAATTGCCAAGACAGGCAGATGAAAGGCTGAGGGAGATATCGCACACCTCTAACTTTAGATTCAGAATGAAGGCAATTAAAGAGGAGAGATTGTCCTGCATTCAGCACCCTAAATCAGACAACATGAATCCCTTCTCCTCCCATCTCCACCCATTCTGATTTCGACCAGGAGCTGTATTCTAGAGAGAAGAAAACGTTTGCTTTGTTACAACCAAATCAAGCTCAGAAACCCTCAGTTCAGCAAGTTGTGAGGTTTATTTCCCTGAGCAGAAAGCTCTTTTGTTGACCACTTCCTAACTAACCCCATGACCAGTAAGCAGCAGGAAGCTTATCCATGAATTTGCTACAGCCTCCATGCACACACCAACCTGTTTCACCTTGATATGACTCCTTCTGTGGTTTGGACTGCCATCATCTTAGTGGTGAATTCAGTTTCTTGCATAAGCTATATACAGACCAGGAGGAAAACAGAAATGCCAGTGCTCCTTGGTCTGGGTCATCTTCAACACTGCATTGTCACATATGGTTTGATTTTTGACAGTGCACGAAAACACGCGAAGAGCATACCAATGGGTTCCACCTCACTGTCTTGTAGGATGGATGTGACAGAGCTGTTGGTACTACCAAAACAGGGAGAATAGGTCTCGTAACTGG